TCACGTATGAACTAGTTGTCCTTCCACCTTTTTAGCTCTTTTCATCTGTCATTGAAAGACAGTGTTGTGATGATAGAATTCAGGACATGCCACTCCAAAATATGTCAACTTGACAGGTGAGGAGACAGCAGCAGCAGAAAGGACACTCTAACCTTCTCTTACCCCTTCTTCCCTGAAGCCGGCCACAAATCTTAGCTGACCTTACATTGCAAGTAGGACCTAAGATCCTGATTCCAGAGGGGTTCTTCCTGTTCTAAGCAGAGGACAAAGTCCTCATGCCTTAAGACAAAGAGACGCCAAGAGGAATTTGAAAAACCAGTCCTTGCTAAGTCACCTCTCTAATTTATTACCATGATACCCCCTTTGGCCAATCATAACTCTATACAGCTTCCACTCCTAAGCATATAAATACACAGATTTCTCTGTTTCTCTGAGTCTTTATTTCTGAAGACATATGTCACGTAAAATTACATTCAATAAATTTCTTATTTTTTTCTCTTGTTAAACTGTCTTTTGTTATAGGGGCCTCTGCAATGGGTGAGAATTTTTTTCTCCCTATTGGAGTTCAGAAATAATACCCAAAAATATAGTGCCTTGACACGCTGAACAGAAGAAGCCTCTCGAGATCTCTCTGACTCCCCACCTCCCTACAACCTCCTCTCAATCCTTTCTCTCCCAAAGCTCAGGATGAAGGTGTTCTCTGAAGTTCCCTTATTAGCCTAAAGTCTGGACCTGCCAAAGAAAACAATTACTTCTGGTCACTTCCTTGAGTTTTCATTAACTGAACTCCCATCACAGGGAACAAGACTGAAGTCTGTCAACACATCCGAGCAGACTTTTGTCAGAAACCCTTGTCTGCTCTGTGGGCCCAACAGATGTCGTCCCAAGCCATATCATATGTTCTTCAAGTCCACTGAATTCCCCTGAAGATCATGTAATGTGTCCTCCCAAAATCACTCATACTTCCCATCTCCCTTTGCTCTAGGAAGAAAGTATGAAACCATGTGAACCCCTTTGCACGGTGGGGCAATCATTTGGTGGCTCTCCCACAGGCATACTAATAAATGTGCATGCCATTTCTCCTCTTAATTTGCCTTCTGTGAGTTTCAGCAAACCTTCAAAGGGCAAAGGGAAAATTTTATCTCCACCCCTACATCCCCTATAGTGGATATTCTTCACTAAATAGGTACTTTCAGAAAATCTGTGAAGACTATTATTTCTGATACCAATGGAAATCATATATTAATATTTATTAGAATGCAAGGTCTACAAGGAAAACATCAAAAGTTAATCATCACAAAAATAAAGCAATTGAAAATAACATAGTTTAACATTACACACCTATCCCTATAAATCCTATCACTTGTTAAACATGACTGAAGACCACTGAGTAGCAAAAAAAGTATGTAAGCAGCCAAGCTGGTGTTTATTTCTGATTTTATTTATTTATTTATTTATCTATCTATATTTTCCTTGAGACAGAGTCTCTATCTGTCGCCCAGGCTGGAATGCAATGGTGTGATCACGGCTCACTACACCGCCTGCCTCCCAGGTCCAAGCAATGCTCATGCCTCAGGCTCCTAAGTAGCTGGGATTACAGGTGTGTGCCACCACGCCCAGCTAGTTTTTGTATTATTAGCAGAGATGGGGTTTCACCATGCTGGTCATGCTGGTCTTGAATTCCTGACCTCAAGTGATCCACTGACCTCAGCCTCCCAAAGTGCTGAGATTATAGGCGTGAGCCACCATGTCAAGCCATGATTTAAAATCTCAATTGTGTTTCTAAAGGTGAAGGTCTCACTTGTGAGGGTGGAAGGGCATCTACTTACAGATAGATGGAAACAATATTCATAATTATGTTTGGAAGAATAAAAATCCATGTATGTCACAGCCAACAGTAACTACAGAAAATGTTACTGATTATTTAAATATTGGAAATAGAGATCAGTTTTCTAATCCTAAAAATCTCCTTGCACCCAGAAGACAAATTGGAAAGATAATTAAATACTATGTTAGCTGTCATATCAGTAAACATTAATGATTTTAAAACATCCTTGATTTGAAGAGTTACCATATTATTCATGGCACATTATTAGTTTGATAGAGTTGCCATAACAAAGTACTATTGACTGGGTATCATAAACATCACAAATGTATTGTGTTATACTTGTGGAGGCTGGATGTCTGAAATACAGATGTTGTCAAGGTTGGTTCCTCCTGAGGACTATAAATGAAGGGTCTGTTCCAGGCCTTTCTCCTTGGCTAATAGGGGACTATCTTCTGTTTTCCTTCACATTGCCTTCCTTTAAGGTGTGTCTGTCTCTGTCTCTAAATAGTGAGCCACAAACTAGAAATCACCCTACGGTCTCCTTTGAAGTTAACTACCTCTCCAAAGACCGTACGTCTAATGGTTAGGACCCAACACACCTTTTTTTTTTGGATGGGGCATGACGGAGTACATAACTCAACCCACAAGAGTATAAAAGTCTACAACGTTTCTGTTTTTAAATTTTTAAGTTTCTAAAACCCTAACTTTAACATAATATGGTAACAAGTGGATCAAAGAATTTTCCACCGCTTTCAACATTCAAACTATTGATTTCAATTCTACCTCCTCCAGCCTTTCTGTCCATGAATAATTTGGGAAAATGTTGGTGTACTGAGTTTCTTTTTTCTTCTTGGGAAAAATATCTAAAAGATGTAAAGCCAAATACAATCTTCAAAAAAAAAATTACCCTGATGACAAAAGTCCCTTCCCTTTTCCTTGGAGCACTGTCTTTAGAAAACCTGTAATTGCAAATCCTTTCGCTGTCAAAAACTTGAAAATCCTTTCTCTGTCACTGAAATGGATGCAAATCTCTGAAAACCTGAATAAACCTCTAGCCAGTTTTGCATTCCAGGAATGTCTTTCCTGCGGGCCTTCGGGCTACCTTTCTGAAATGTGAATAACAAGGAAGACAACTTGTCTCTCTCTCTTCGGGAGTTGAGCCTAGATACCTGGTTCTAAATTGTACCTTCTTATTTGCTGCAAATATGTTTTTATTTTTTTCTTTGGATAAAGAGATGTATGTAATTGGCATATATACCTCTTATTTTTCTTCTTTTTCTCTAATGCAATAAGCACACAACCACGTCAACACAAATGCTCACAAATACTGAAAAACCTTCTACAGTTATGACCTTGCTACATCAACTGACTCGTCAATAACTTGAATACACAGAATGAAATGTTTATTAGTGACAATATCAGCAAACATAAAATGTGTAATTATGTTTTTAGTACCAGTTATTTGAATACTAATTATATGTCAAATGCAGGGCTAAGAGTTTGCATAGATTAGGTACTATAATCTTTATAATGACCCTACTATTTAAAATAGCTTCTACCACTATTTTCCACATAAGAATCCCAAGGCTATGAAATAATTTATCCAGTTTTCAGTCCTAAAAAGCAATGGCGAATTGCACCAATCTGACTGCAGAGCCTGGCTTCTTCACCATGAGGTGACTGTCCTACTCCATGCCAGCACGGATTCCTGATGGATTTCTGATTATTTGGGTTGCTTTTGAGTCTGAATCAATTTAGCCCTGCTTGCCATCTTTTTTTATGTTGTTGAAGTGATGTGGCATAGTGGTAATTTTCTGTCCTGAAAGTCAATGGCCTTACGTTTCCCTTACTGAATTGAACTGGTAGCCATATAATCTTGGAAGAATTATCTATCTAGTCTGAAACTCAGTTTCCACAACCTGGAAGCACTGCACAACAACAATTTCCCTGTGGCCATGAAAAAGCAGGGTAAGGCGCTATAAACTTTCCGTGTGTGACTAGCTTTGGAGAAACCAATAGATGAGGGTACAGACCTAATCTTACTCAACAATATATTCCCCAGGAATTAGGACAGCATCTGGCTGGTCATCATTGGTAACCAAAAGAAATACCTAATCAGAAAATATAAGGCATCATTTTCTCTACCTCCTATATTGTTATAAGAAACGAAAAGAGCCTAGATTTAACATTTTCCTTATTTATCGATTTTAGAGACGGTATCTCACTCTGCCGCCCAGGCTGGAGTGCACTGACATGATCACAGCTCACTGCGGTCTCCAACTCCTAGGCTCAAGGGATCCTCCTGTCTCAATCTCCCATGTCCTTCTGATGACAGGCATGAAGCACCACACCCAGGTCAACATGTTTTACGTGTATAAGATTGGGTCTTTTATTTTTCTTTCACATCGAATTCTGCCAGTACACTACTATTTGGTAGTAAGTAAAAGCTGAGTACAAAAACCATGTACATCTGCACTAAGCCTACATACTGAAAACGGAAACCAAATCTTTCTGACAATATAGTATCACTTTGGAATTCTATTGTCTCTATTAGCATTATCCAATCTCTTTCCAATCCCAATCAAGTCCCTGTTTTGAAATATCATCATTCAATTAAATTCCAAATCTCAGTCAACTTTGGCGTAGTTTTCCTCCCTCTGAGACCTTACCAAAGCTCTATCGAGGCAGTTTCCCTTACCGAGGTAAGTGATAAACTTAGCTTTACCTCAGGCTGGTGATATGTGGGAAGCCAACTTTCAACAAAGTCTATAGTTTTCTAAGACCTTAAGGATTTTTGGAAACTGCAAAGCCCTATGTAAAGACAGATTTCATGACACAGCAAATTACTTGTAATATTATCAGTATAATTGACATTATAAGCGAGTATAGATATTTCTATTGCATTTGATTATTTCATGAATCATGTTTTCAATATATACTTAATAATAATAGAACAAAATATCTCCATCATATTTACCTGTGATATAAATTGTTCAAATCTATCAATTTCACATTTTTAAATAATTATAAACTAGAATTTCATCTCCCAAATATGAATTCAAAATAGCATTTTATTTTTATTGTCTCATGGGATTTCTATTTACATATTTACATAATTATTTTTTGAATAAAGATGGTTAAATCTAATTTACTTGATAATGTGGGGTCTTACCTTTTCCAGTTTTGAAAGAGCAAGAGAATAACAGTCTTTGGCTCTGAATTGCATGAATCTCATGTTGGCTGGGTGAGTAAGCTCTGTGATAATACTGAGACTGGAAAACAACCTACATTTCAAAAGAACAATTGCATTTCACTAACAATCCAATATGGTATTTTTTTATATAACAACATATTTATGAGTGAGTAATTCCTAGCCTTAGGCATAAAACTATATCCAATTACAACAGCAGACAATGCCACATAAAATCTTCTGTACAATGCAGGAAAAAATGAAACATCATTTCCTCAAGAATATTTTAACAGACATTTTAACATAATACGAAAAATAAATTGAGTAATTTGGCTTTTATTAGACATTTTCTCTTTACAATTATGGGATAGCATAGAAGAGAACTCATAAAGCTGATTTAAGAAGTTACAAGGTTACTTTACGGATGGCATTGAAACAGATTTATAAAGATAAATATGCTGATTGGCAAAAATTTCACATGATGAGCTTCTTGTGTATTATGTGAGCTCTTTCACATCCTATGGCTTTCATTCTCATAGTATGCAGTTTTTAAATGTCAGATCTTGCTACAACAAACTTCTGAGGTGAGGAAATGATTTATACAAAATTTCAGTGTAATGAACTGGGGTCAAGCTAAAGCAGCGATAGTGTTCTCCAGAAGTATCCTGAGAATTTTTCACAGGGCCCATGGCTTCACATGACCTTTCTTCCCATCTGACAATCCCTCAAATATATACCAAAACGTGCACACATACATACAGGCTCACACAAGATTTCCTTCCCCAGAGAAAAGGTGCAGGATGATACCACAATAAATGCTTTCTATTTTTGCTGTTGTTGATGGTCTGATCCTTACCTGATATCTATGCATCCCTGGATTGCTTGACTTGTTTAAATATTTTGGTATTGTCTGTGGCACCCACTTCTGTGATAATCAGCCTTGTTTTCCATATGTATGATATGTCTTTAAACTAAGCTATGACCACTTAAAATTCCAATCACTAGGTTGAATCCATACCTAGAACTCAGGGACCGGACTGACTGCAAATATGCAGAATATAAACAGCCTGTTTGTGGGGCTCAGGAACAAATCAGCTCCTGCTGCTCTCAATTTATGCTCATTCGGTCAAGTGGGTGCAGTTACTTCCATGTGCCCAAGTGCCTGATGCGGTACATGCTACTTTTTAAATGGGAGCCCTGTCCCTGAACCCCAGCACTACAGATGAGTTGTTACCTTTCCTCAGGTCTAACTCTGGAAGGAGGGCTGATGGATGATGTGTCAGGACTGCTCCCTCCTACTGATGTGCAGGCCTTCCCTCCTGCCTGCAGGGCCTTCCTTGGCCTTCAGCCCAGGCTTCTCTCATCACCTGCCTCTCGGGTTTGTTTGCATTGAGCTTTAGTTACCATTCCAGTTAAGACACTAACACATTCTTAAGAAGAGTTGTGGGTTTTTTTGTTTTTGTTTTTGTTTTTTTTCCAGAGTTATCAGTGAAACTTAGACATCCTCCTAGCCATTAGCCCAAATGGACTAACTGGGCCTTGCCTAGTTAAGGCCTTTGAGAGCTAGGACATTACTGGGTATTCTGTAAAATCTTTCAATAAAAGTAAGAAATATAGTCAGTATTATATGGCTCAATCTCTATTTTGAGAATAAATACTATCATAGTTCTTGATTTAGGTAAATTTGAATAATTGTTATTGAAATAGTATCAGCAAAGCAACAACCAGAATACAATTTCTTTTGCTGACTTTCAATGTTAAAAATACCGTAATTTTATTTGTGCAACTGATAACTTTCTTAATAATTCTGTGACCTTAAATTCACTACAGAAACCCTCAATAACAGATTCTGCAGAGAAAGGATGTAGTAAAGCATGAAGCTAGTGGCTACACACAGAAGGTACTGTCTTTTAGTTGTAATGTTATTACTATTTTCTTAGCTTTTTTCTTTTTCTCATGTCACTTATACCTGAAATGCCATCTCTTTTCTGTTTAATTTTCTCCTGAATCTCTCTATTATGAATTCACAACCAATATTTAAAGTGGCTCTCAAATCCAATCAAGATGAAACTTACAATTTTTTAAAAGCCAGAATAATCCTCTGCACCGTGGCTCCCCACTATTTGATTTATTGATTATAATAGCTGTTGGCCTCTACACCATTCTGGTTGGTTTTATTCATGCCTTAGCTTTCCCAGTAGAACACAACATCTAGAAAGGCAAGGTTTCCCTCTCAGTGCCTACGACCTTATATTTCTTTAATTGTAAATCTTTGTTAAAGTAAACAATTTCTCAATTAGTGTTTGTGCATTTGAGATGAAATCTTGATGAAGAGGGTACTGAATTTAAATAGATTAGCTTATGGAGAAACACTGTATTATCAATATTTCACATGATTTTCTTTTAGCAGCTCTATTCTCACTCAAAAGTCACACATGATAGTATATTCAATAAATAAGTTATTTTCTCAAAAACTCTTTAAAAATTAGAAAAGTGGCCTGATGGAAAAAAATGTCAATTGACTTTTGGGCTGGCACACTCCATCTGGTGGGCCTGAGAAATGCCACCAACTGCCGAATTTCATACCATCTGGGAGTTTCAAAGTATTTATTTAAGAAATATTTTAAAATAACAATGTCACTAAAGATATTCATAATACGGTTGTCACAGACAAAATTCAATCATCTGTGGAAATAAAAAATAAAATGAAAAACAGGACAAAAATGAATCAACGAACACAAAGCCTTATAGACTCATGCTGACCATAAATCCCATATACATGCACTGAACTTTAAAAAGAAAAATTAACTGATCTAAGTTTCTCCTCCTCGTTTTTTGCATTTTTTTTTCTCTTTGGTGGATAACACAGGTTCATCAACAATAATTATAAATCACTATTCCAAGAGTTGTCTGTGTGTTAACTCATGTAATCTTCACATCAGGCAGAAGCCCTCTCATTTTGTGTTTCCATCTGTCCCCTCACCTTCCCTAGGAAAAGCTGAGGGCGTGCGGCACCAACCTTACTCTGTCTTCTCAGTATCTTTGGATGTGTAGCGGTCTGTGCCAAGCCGTGAGGAGGGGTAAGCCCTGCAGGGCAAGCCTTGTGATTGTCCAGTATGGCTCTTGACCACGGTTCTCAAGGGTGAATCTGAAAAGCCCACTCTGGCCTCTACCAAAGTCACATCCTCCAGCCTAAGATTTTTATCTCTAGCTGCCTGACTTCTTCGGATCTCAATAGTTTCCAATTCATATTAGAAATCAAGAGGGTCACATTACCTCTTCAAACTGCAGAAAACTATTCTATGATTCACCTCCAATTATTAAAGATGAGGAAACTGAGGCACAAAGAGACAAAATATGTTCAAGGTTAACATTCTAGCAGGTGGTAGAGCCTGGGTTGCACCACAGCGTTAGTTCTGAAGCTTCCCCTCACCATTATAATAAAGAGGAAGGCAGAGCAACGTAAGGAAACACAGATGATCCAAATAAAATAAATTATTAACAATATGCAGCAACAGATTGCTATTTCATATATTAAAAAGTCCCTCTTTTAAAAATAATATTTTATAAATTACTTCCACTTAGCCTTAACAAATAATTTTCAAGTTTTTACTATTAGAAAGTTCTGGTCTCCAGGAGATAGATAAACACATCAAGTAAGATTCCCGACTTTAAACAGTATAATATAATAAATGAAACAATAAAAATTCACAAATTATAAGGACATATGTATTTTTCTAGGGGTCATAAATTGTGGCTGACTGAACACTCTTAGATTAAGTAGCATTAAGACACTAGTGAATGGATTGCTTATGAAGAACATTTATGACAGTGTTGAGATAGATATAAGGCCAGAGATGAAACTGATGAGGAAAATGTAGCTACAAACTAATGAAAATTGTGTTTAACTTTTGGAACATTTTTATTTCCCTTAAAAACATAGTTTTTGCCCAGGCACAGTGACTCATGCCTTTAATCCCAGCACTTCGGGAAGCCAAGCTGGTGGATCACGAGATCAGGAGTTCAAGACCAGCCTGACCAACATGTGAAAACCCAACTCTACTAAAAATAAAAAAATTTGCCAGGCGTGGTGGCACACACCTGTAATCCCAGCTACTAGGGAGGCTGAGGCAGGAGAATTGCTTGAACCCGAGAGGCAGAGGTTGCAGTGAGCCAAGATCGCACTCCAGCCTGGGCACCAGAGTGAGACTCAGTCTCAAATATATATATATATGGTTTTATCTTTAATACAAATCAGTATTCTCACTTTGAATAAAGTTCTTGGTTACTTAGATTGTTCTGTATATCATCCTTTTATAACACATTTTATCAAATAGAAGTATATACATGTATGTAGCTAGAAATATTTGGGGTCTTAACAAGAGTAAGTGAAAACATGATAGGATGACCCAATCATTGTATTTGAGTGACTTCTGGGGTTGAAATTAAATACGACAACATATTTTTTGTGATGTGCCACCATTTCTGTTCTACATAAATTAACCTATAACATTTATGTTATTTTGAACTGACAAACTGAATGTATTAGCTAAGCCTGCCACCTAGTGAAAAATCTAGAACTCATATTTATATAATGAAACACTGGATGCTAATGCCCTTTATATCCATAGACTATGACTTGTATTCAGTTATAACATGTGATATTTACAAATTTGGTTGTCTAATAGATTTATTTAGGTTCCTTTGAAACACTAATACTGTAAATAGATTTCTGGGTCTTAAAATGAGCTAAATATATTTTGCACATCGTACATTTTAGAATTAAAATGACATAATAAGTCTCCTTTCCCTGGGCACTAAAAACATAATAGAGCAATACTTGAATTAAAAAACATATATAGTTTGTTCTATTTAAAACTTTTTACAAGTATTTTCTGTTCTGACTCAGTGATGTAAATATAATTGTCTAGATATGTAAGATATCCATGGAAGAGTTCTCTGCTGGCATTAATTTATTCAACGAATATTTTTACTAACCAATATTAAGATGAAAAACATACCATATATTCTATTTCACAGGCTACTGGGGGAACTCTGAAACTAGCTGTATTTGTATCATAAAGCAAAACACAC